CCAGGAAGTGGCTATTAGAAATAGCAATTCACTGAGTTAATATTTGTAAAGCACTTAGCACTGTGCCTAATATATATTAAGTAGTATGTGCCAATTAAACAAATAGAAAGTAGATAAATGGACTATGTCCTGAGTATCTACTGATTATATCTCCAAGTATAAAACCATCTCTCAGCTTTTCAACAAACTCCAACAGTCTTTTTAATTAAACTTTTGAGATAATTAGACATTCAATAAAGTCGTAAGAAATAATAACAGAATGACCACATGTGCCCTTTATCTGAATAGCATAATTTTAATTACAGTGCTAATCAAAATAATTCAATTTCCCTATTTTCTTTTCTCATTTTGCCTGAAACACAGGGTCCAGTGCTTTTTTTATTGAGGTGAAATTTTCATAACATAAAATCCATTTTGAAATGGCATTTAGTGCATTCATAACATTGTGTGACTACCCATTCCAAGTTCCAAAACATTTCATCAGCCAAAAAGAAAACCCCGAACCCAGTAAGCAAGCACTCCTTGTTCTTCCCTTCCTCCAGCCCCTGGCAACCATCAACCTATTTATTGTCTCTGTGGATTTACCTGTTCTGGATAGTTCATGTAAATGGAGCCATGCATTCTAAGACCTGGCTTCTTTCACTTAAGCACGATGGTTCTGAGATTCACCTACATTATAACATATACAGATACTTCATTCTTTTTTATTGCCAAATAATAACCCCTTGTATATACTTACCACGTTGGTTATCCATTCATCCACTAATGGACATTTGATTATTTCCACCTCTTGGCTATTGTGAAAAGTACTGCTGTGAAGATTCCTGTACAAGATTTTGTTTGAGTACCTCTTTTCAATTTTGGGGTGGCGAATATGCCTAAGGGTGGCATTGCTGGGTCATATGGTAATTCTATGTTTAACTTTTTCAGGAACCACTAAATGATTTTCCATAGTGGCCACACCATTTTACATTCCTACTAGCAGTGTGCACAGGTTCCAATTTCTCCACATCCTTGTCAACATTTGTTAATTTCATCTTTTGTAGTAGTAGTAGTAGTAGTAGTAGTAGTAGTAGTAGTATAGCCAACCCAGTGGGTGTGAAGTGATATTTCATTGTGGTTTTAATTTGCATTTACCTAATGACTAATGATGTTAAGCATCCTGTCATATACTTGTTGGCCATTCATGTATTTTCTTTAGATATATGTCTATTCGGCTTCTTTGCCCAAAGTAATCTTTTCACTTTCTTGATAATGTCCTTTCATGCACAAAAGTTTTTAATTTTCATGGCATTTAGTTTATTTGCTTTTTCTTTTGTTGTTTATGCTTTTAAATTATCTAAGAATTCATTGCCAAATCCATGGTCATGAAGCTTACCTCTTCTAAGAGTTTTATAACATTAGCTCCTACATTTAGGTTGTTTATCCCTTTTGAGTTATTTTATATAGTATGAGGTAGGAGTGCAACTTCATTCCTCAACACATGACTACCCGGTTGTCCCAGCGTCATCTGTTGAGGAAACTATCCGTTTCCTTTACAGTGGTCTTGGCACTGCTGTTGCAAGTCAGTTAACTGTATGTGTGAAGATTTATCTCTGGGCTTTTTATCCTGTTCCATAGATCTTCATGTCTATCTTTATGTCAGTGCCACACCATTTTGATTACAGTAGCTTTTTATTAAGTTTTGAAATCAGGTAGTGGGAGTCCTCCAACTTTGTTCTTTTTCAAAATTGTTTTGGCTCCTTTCAATACCATATGAATTTGAAATTTGGCTTTCCTATTTCTTGAGAGAAAAAAAAAGGCTATTGGAATTCTGATAGAGATTACATTGAATCTGTAGATCACATTTGGTAATACTGCTATTCTAATAATATTAAGTCTTCCAATCCATTAACGTAAGTTGTCTCCATTTATTTAGGTCTTTAACCTTGATTATATTTATTTATACCTATTTATTTTGGATGCTATTGTAAGTGAAAGTTTTCTTAATTTTGTCTTTGGATAATTCGTTGCTAGTGTATGGAAATAAAACTGATTTTTATGTACTGGTCTGCAGTTTTTTAGAATTTATTAGCTGTAATTGTATTTTGTAGAGTATTTAGGATTTTATATATATAAGATCATGTCATCTGTGGAGAAAGGTAGCCTTACTTCTTCCTCTCCGATTTGTATGTCTTTTTTTCTTTTGCTTGCCTAACTGCTCTGGCTAGAATGTCCAGTATAATGCCATGCTGAAGTGGCAAACATGGGCATTCTTGTCTTCTTCCTCATCTTATGAGGACTGCTTTCAGACTCTAACCATTCAGTATGTTAGCTGTGGATTTTCCATAAATTCTCTTTGTGAGATTGAGGAATTTTCCTTCCTCCAAGTTGGTCAAGCTATCTTTATCATGGAATGCTGCTGAATTTTGTAAAATGTTTTCTTACATGAATTGAGGTGACCATGTGGTGTTTTTTTTTCTTAATTGTATTAATGTGGTATATTATATTGATTTTCATATATTGAGCCTCACTTGAATTTTGAATACATCTCATTTGGTCACAGTGTATAATGATTGTAACATGCTGTTTGATTCAACTTTATTGAGGATTTTTACCCATATGTTCACAAGGAATGTTGGTCTCTAGTTTTCTTTTCTAATGATACCATCATCTGGCTTTGGTATTAATGCTGGATCTAAGGCAGGATAGGATATAGCTGGATAATATTTTTAACCCATTCTGCCAATCTTTGACTTTTAATTGGAGTTAGTCCATTTACATTTAAAGTGGTTACTACCAAGGAAGGACTTCTGACATTTTTGTTTGTTTTCTATATTTCATCTTTTGTTCCTTAGTTCCTTCATTATTGCCTTCTTTTGTGTTTAGTTGTTTTTTATAATGTATCATTTTGATTATTTTATGTATAATTTCTAGTTATTTTCTTACTGGTTATCCTCTGCTGCTATAACTCTGACCCTATACAGCTCTATCCCACCCCTTTATGGCATTGTCATCATGAATTAATCTTTGTATGTCATGTAACCATTAGCATAGATGATAATTTATGTCTTATGCATTTGTCTTTTAAGTCATACGGGGGGAAAGCAGAGTTACAAACCAAAAATACAATAAAACAGTTATGCTGTCTCTTGTATTTACCTATGTATTTGATTTTACCAGTGTTCCTTATTTCTTTGTATGGCTTCAAGTTCATTTTCATCTGAAGAACTCACTTTAGTATTCCGATAGGGCAGGTCTACTAGTGATGAACCACTTCAGCTTTTGTTTATCGAGAAATGTCCTAGTTTCTCCTTCATTTTTCAAGTATAGTTTTGCTGGATATACAATTTTTGGTTGGCAGGTTTTTTTTTTCTTTCAGCACTTTATATATGTCATTCCATGCCTTCAGATTCCATGGATTGTGCTGAGAAATCAGCTGTTAATCTTGAGAATCACTCATATGTAATGCCTTTCTTATCGCATGCTCTCAAGACTCTCTGCCTTTGACTTTCAGCAGTTTGATTTTAATGTGTCTCAGTATGGTTATCCTTGTGTTTGTTCTCCTCGGAGTTTGTTGAGCTTCTTGGATATGCAGATTTTTGTTCAAATTGGGGGAGTTAGGGACCATTATACTTCAGATATTCTTTCTGTCCCCTTCTCTATGTCCTGTCTCTTGGGACTCCTATGATGAGTTTGTTTGCATGCTTGATGATATCCAAAAGGCCTATCTTTTTCCATTCCTTCTTTCTTCTCCCCACCCTGCATAATTTTAGTTGATCTGTCTTCAAGTTTGTTGGTTCTTTCTTCTACCTACTCAAATATGCTATTGAAACCTACTATTGAATTCTTCAGGGATGAGCACTGGGTGTTGTATGGAAACCAATTTGACAATAAATTTCATATATTAAAAAAAAAAAAGAATTCTTCATTTATGTTTCTGTACTTTTTAGGTCCAGAATTTCTGTTGGGGTCCTTTTTATATTTTCTGTATCTTTATTGATATTCTCTATTTGTTGAGACATCATTTTACTGGTTTCCTCTATCTCTTTGCCCATGGTTTCCTTTAACTCTTTTAGCCTAATAAGTCAGTTGGTTTAAAATCTTTGCTTCATATGTCCACTGTCTGTGCTTCCTAAAGGACAGTCTCTGTTGATTTCCTCAATGAATAGGCTATACTTTTCTACTTTTCTCTGCATACCACATATTTTTGTGAAAAACTGGATATTTGAATATTATGATAACTAAAAATCAGATTCTTCCCCCTCCTCAGGTAATTTATTTTATTTTATTTTTGCTTGTTGTGGTTGTAGTGGTTTGTTTCTTTTATTATTTTTCTAAACTATTTTTGTAAAGTCTGTATTCTTTGTTGGGTGTAGTCTCTGAAGTCTCTCTGTTCTTTTGGCTTGTAGTCAGCTAGTGTTGTGGAGGTTGTCTCGAATACCTAAATGAGAGGAAGGAAAGGGAAAGGCTGAACGAGATAGGAAAGGAAATGAAAGAAAAAAGAACCTCTCCCAACGTTTGCAGATTAGTTGTCTAAGTTTAGTGTGTAGCCAGGCTATTTACAGCTCTGCATTAGCCTGCACTTTGTGAGAGGTGAAAGCTCCAGGTGTTCTCTGGTCTTTCTGGGCATGCATTCTGCCCTGGGCATGCACATGGCTTTCTAGATTCCCTGGTGTATGCAGACACTTTGCAATACCCTAATCTCCCAAAGAAACTCTCTCCCCAGTTTCTCTTTCTAGACTGTTGGAGTGTCAGGTGTTTTGTGTTGGTTGGTTGGTTTGTTTGTTTTGCCTCAAATTCAGTCTCTGCCCCAGAAGTAGCACATTTGTTCATTTGCGTTACAGTGTTTCCAAGGAATGCCCTCTTACATAGCCACTCTTTCACTGTGACAGAGCTCGAAGTCAGGTGGAACAGAAGCAACCACCCTACACCAGCCCTTCAGATAGTCTCCAGATGGGTCAAAACAGACAAAACACAGTTCTTTGAGGATATTATCTTTTCTGCTCCTTCCAGAACCAGAGACTGGGGTCTACCCTGGGAACTCAGGCTGCTATCTTCAAGATCATCACTAGGCCAGGAAGGGAAGTGAGGCAAGAGCAAGCAAAATTCCACAAAGTTTTCCTTATGTGTAAGTTGCACTCCCCACCACCACCTTTTTTGTACCACATTTGCTTGCTTTCTGTCAACCTTTGGCTGTTTTCCAGAGTTCTGACAGAATTGCTTTTGAGAGGTTTTGCTATATTTTTTGTTGTTTCCATGAGGGATGGGCTTTTGGAGTTACCCACTCCATCTTGTTTGCTGACATCACTTTCCCTGGTAGTTTTTAAAAATTTCATCCTTAATTTATAGAAACTTTCAGAGAGGTAAAAAACTGGTAAGAAGTATTATCACCAGCCACCAGATAATAACTTTCATCACAATGTCTTGACCATATCTATTTATACAAAATATATTTAAATATGTATTTAGAAATGTTTGTAATAGATGTCAGCATCATTTGTGAAAATGCACATACCCGAAGAGCAAAAGCAATTTCAATGGCATGGGCTTCCACCTCTTTAACACTATTCCATTTATATATAGGCTTATGTCAATTCCACACTCAAAATCCCACCACTTTCTTGGAACAAAAACCCACAGTCAGGGCTTGGGATGATGGCAGAAAAACACTCTGCCCACGTTAACATGACAGGACATCGACCAGCTGCCCATGGTCGGCAGCAATGGGTGAGAGAGGAGCAGTGAGTCAGCAGAGTCTGTTTTCAGCCTGTGTGCCCTGCCTCCCTCTCACCAATGCGTCTACTCATCCCTCTGGAATCTAGATCCAAGTGAAGATAAGCCACCGTAATGAAGTTTGAGAAACACTCTCATATGCACTGATCTCTCTTTCCTCAACTTCCAGAGAACTTAGTTCTAAAATTTATTTTTGTTTTTTATAAAATAATGTATGTACCTAAAACTCTCAAATGATAGTAGGGTAGTACTCTTTAAAGATTGAGTCATTGAAGGCAGAAAGAAAGGAAAAGAAAGGGAAGGGGAGGGGAGGGAAGGGAAGGAAAAAAAAAACCTATTATAACCCTATTATAACCTTTTACTTCTGTACCCTTCGTGAAGCTAGACAAGTGGGATGCATTCCCAAAGTACCCCGATATCATCTTCCTTGATAGGCCCACAGACCACCACCTTAGTCGTGAGTCTCCATATTCTTAATAGTTTTCCAGCTCCTGTTGTTTTCTAAAAATAACATAAATGACAAAATTATAAATGTGTCATCAAGGCAAAAAAGTCATCAATTTCTTAAAAAGGCAAGTTCATACTACATATCTATGCTTTTCCTCCATTCCAGCCAGTCCAAGCACCTTAGACTCACATACCTATATTTGAGAAAACAACATGTTTTCTAATTTTGCTTCAAATGGTTGAAGTATTTTCAAAATATATAATAAAACATATAGTTGGAAAAATGTATGTACCAAGAAAACGTTATTTAGGGAAAAGTATCAAGCATCACAAACATCTTTTGGTTTTTGTTTTGTTTCTGAGTCATGCACAATTAATAACCTGTCCAATTGTCTTTTTTCCATCTGAGAGAGATGTTGGGGTCATAGTGATATGGAGGTCAGAATACTCCCTAGTATGGCCAGGGGAATAAATCTGCACAGTGCATATGATAATAAAATATGGATTATGAAAAAATGAGTAAAATGCGCTCACTTATAAAAGTGTTCTTGGTCTTTTTTAAACAAGAAAAGGACAAGAAGCAATTAGTATATCTTCAAAGCAAGAGTCAAAGAGGTAATGAAATCCTGTAGTTGAGGTTCTTAGCTTGTTATCAAGGGTTTTTTTAACCCAAAGAGATGAAAACATGTTAATCAAATTAATAAATTAAAGTTTTCCACACTTTGAAGAGTGGAATCGAAAAACTCATCAGTCTGTGCCTTGTAACAAAATTCCTATGTGTTGATGCACTTTAAAAATTATACATTAGTGTTTTTTTTAATCTGACAGTTTGATTTGCCATGAAAAACATTATTCCTGGTTTCGTGTGATTTACATGATGAACAAAGGATCTGCGGAGCTCTCCTTCAGAACCACTATGTCCACAAAGTGGTTTTCTCCCTTGAGAACACATACAGAAACTTAAAATAATATCCAGAAAAATTGAGGCAATGGTAGGCATGAAATGGTTAACTAGTATTATGTATTATTTGCGGTGTTTTTGTTTTTTTTTCTGGCAAAGATTTGTAATGTATTCATCTTCTCTATAGTTTTTGTTTATGGTTCTTCAGTAGGCCGTTAGTCTCTTTGGATGTTCGTGCATTTTATGACTGAACAAAACAGTATGTGCGGAAGGTATATTTATTTTAATGAAGATAGGCTGCAGATTTAAGTGACTCTAAATGGAGCCTTACAGTCATCTTTTACATAAAATTGCTCTACCTAAGATCACTGAAGTCTTCCTACTTATCCAATAAAAGCATTTTCAGTAGCAGTCCTGGCAGTATTGACCAGCTGAAATTTTTTCCTTAGCTTCTCCAGTGACACTCTCTACCAGTTCTTTACCTGCTTCTGCTCTCTTAACCTCCCTGTTGTCTTCAGAGGCTCCCCTTCCTCCGCCTGTTCCTTACATATTATTGCCCACACTCCATATGGAGTTAAATATCAAAAAAAATCTTTCAATGTAGGGGGAAAGTACTAGAAGAAAATGCTAGAAGCTACTTAAAAATTTTTTAATGTTATTTATTTTTGAGAGAGAAAGAGACAGAGCATGAGTGGGGGAGGGGGAAGGGCACAGAGAGAGACACACACACACAGAATCTGAAGCAGGCTCAAGGCTCTGAGCTGTCAGCACAGAGACCGACATGGGGCTCAAACCCAGGAACTGCGAGATCATGACCTGAGCTAAAGTGAGACACTTAACCTACTGAGCCACCCAGGTGCCCCTATACAAAGCCACGTTAAAATGGTTGCGTTTGAAGTTGTAGATATATAGGTAATTTTTCCTACCTTCTGCTATTTTCCAAATTTTCTTCACTGAAAAAAAAATACGATTTTTTTTTAAGTTTAAAGAATAAAGGGGAATTCCCCAAGTTCCATTTCTTAATGTTTTTCTCTTCCTACTATATGTGTACTCCTCTGATAAATGCACTTTTCCTCTGTTTTCTGTCAAATTTGCAGCAACAAATTCTAAGTCTACATAAGTTGTCTCCTTTCCAAAAAGTGTGCCCAAAAACTTAATGTGTGAAAGGAAAGTAAAAGATATATGTACATTTAGGGAAATTTACACTTCCAAAGAGCTCAAATTTGCTAAGCAAAGTCAAGCCAGGTGTCTGTCCTACTCCTACATGGATCTACACATGGGTCATAGGGATCCGAGCAGGATATCTCCAGCTTAACATCCTTTGAGCACCTGAAAGAACCAAAAGTGAATACATCTTCATTTTGTCAGTCTTTTCAAAGAACAGTTTCCTGCTCTCATTGATATGTTGTATTTTTTTTAAGTTTCTGTTCCATTTATTTCTGCTCTAATTTTTTAATATTTCCCTCCTTCTGCTGGTTTTACATTTTGTTCTTTTTTCTAGCCTCTTTAGGTGTAAGGTTATGTTGTTTATTTGAGACTTTTCTTGCTTTTTCAGCTAGGTCCGTATTCCTATATGCTTCCCTCTTAGAACTACTTCTGCATCCCAAAGGTTTTAGATTATTGTATTTTCATTTTCATTTGTCTCCATGTAAGCTTCTATTTCTTCTTTGATTTCCTCGTTGAACCATTCACTGTTCAATAGTATGCTGTTTATAACCTCCATGTATTTGTGCTCTTTCCATATTTTTCTTGTGGTTGATTTCTAGTTTCACATCATCATGGTCAGAAAAGATGTATGGTATAACTTTGATCTTTTTCAATTTGTTGAGATTTGTTTTGAGGCCTAGTATGTGATCTTTCTAGAGAATGTTCCACGTGCACTTGAAAAGAATGTGTATTCTGCTGTCTTATGATGAAATGTTCTGAATATATCTGTTAAATCCATCTGGTCCAGAGTGTCTTTCGAATCTGTTGTTTCTTGGTTGATTTTCTGTTCAGATGATCTGTCCATTGATGTAAATGGGGTGGTAAATCCTCTACTGTAGTGGCATAACTATCAAGTATTTCATTTATGTTTGTTATTGACTGTGTATTTGGGTGCTTCTGTTAGGTGCATAAATATTTACATATATTAGATCTTCTTGTTGGATTGTCCCCTTCATTAAAATATAATGTCCTTCTTTGTCTCTTGTTACAGTCTTTGTTTTAATATCTAGCTTGCCCAATATAAGTGTTGCTACCCTGGCTTTCTTTTCGTTTCCATTTGCATGGTAGATGTTTTTTCCATCCCCTCACTTTCAATCTGCAGGCGTCTTTAGGTCTGAAGTGAATCTCTTGCAGGCAGCATATAGATGGGTGTTATTTTTTTTTTATCCACTCTGTCACCCTGTGTCTTTTGAGTGTTTAGCCCATTTACATTCAAAGTAATTGTTGACAGCTATATTTATTGCCGTTTTGTTATATATTCATGGTTGTTTTTGTAGTTTTTCTCTGACCCTGTCTTGTCTTGCTCTCTTTCATGGTTTGTTGGCTTCCTTTAGTGGTATACTTGGATTCCTTTTTCTTTATTCTTTGCATATCTATTACTGGTTTTTGGTTTGTGGTTACCATTAGATTTGTATATAACTTCTTCTACATATAGCAATCTGTATTTGATGGTCACTTAAGTTTAACCCACTTATTATTCCCCACCCCCACCCCACAATTTAGGTATATGGTGTCATATTTTACATCCTTTTATTTTATGGATCCTTTGATTTTTTTCAGGAATACTTATTTTTATACTTTTGCGTTTCTACTTTTCATACTCTCACTTATGGTCTTTCTTTTCCACTCAAAGAATCCCCTTTCATATTTCTTGTAGGGCTAGTTAGTGGTCATAAACTCCTCTAGTATTTGTTCGTCTGGGAAACTCTTTATCTCTCCTTCTATTCTGAATGATAGCCTTGCTGGACAGAGTACTCTTGGCTGTAGATTTTTCCCTTTCAGCACTTTGAATATATCCTGCCACTCCCTTCTGGCCTATGAAATTTCTACTGAAAAATCCA